ATATCTTTATTCATTTCAGAGAGAGAAAAGGAGAGGGAGAGAGAGAGAGATAGAAACATCAATGATGAGAGAGTCATTGATCGGCTGTCTCCTGCACGCCTCCGACTGGGGATTCAGCCAGCAACCCCCTGCATGTGCCCTGACCGGGAGTCAAACCCCAATCACCTGGATCCTAGGTCGATGTTCAGCTGCTGAGCCACGTTGGGCCAGGCGGGGGAGGGCGGGGGGGGGCGTCTTTTACATTAACTATTTGGTAATTAAAAAAAATACATTCTCATACCTCAAAACAATTATTTTAAGAGCTATGTCAAAATGTGCTCATCAAAATATCTAGGTTTGGAGAAAGCCCAAAAAATTAAGCTGGCAAAGCATGCAGTATGACTTTCATAGACCTTAGACAGTTTGCATTCATAGGTCCATTCCCCTGTATAGATATGAAAAAAGACATTTTGTGACTGCATTAGCATAAAAACAAATATAATCCAGGCTGCATTCATTTTATATATTCATTATCATTATTATATTTATTTTTTTCTTCTAATTTTAAAAGCAGTTAAAATTTTCATGGGCTCCTAAAGTATTCATGGACCCTAGGCACTATACCTGCTGTGCCTAATGGAGAAGTCACCTTGCCAGCTGGATGTGACTTGATAGGGCTCTTTATCACCTTTTTGAAATATGCAAATAGAACAAGGTTTGATTGATTTTTTTTTTTTTTAAATATGTTTTTGTTGATTTTTAGAGAGAGGGGGAGAAAAAAACACCCAATAGTTTGCCTCATATGACCAGGGACTGAACCCACAACCTGGGCATGTGTCCTGACCAGGAATCAAACCCTGTGACCTTTTGGTGCATGGGATGATGCTCAACCAACTGAGCCACACCGGCCAGCGTTGTTCTAATTGTTTTTAGGAGCTCTTTATTGCAATCGCTGAGCTCATTTTAATTTTTTCTTTCACGTTGAATGCCTTCCTCCTCTTGGAAGATGTACATGTCTCCAAATGGGACACTGTGCAAAGTGGCCATGTAGGGCTTCTGCCCATAGAGGAAGAGCTCCCCTGTTTTTACACACCATCACCCTGGCTTTGCTTTTTGGGTTTGGACAAGAAGTTGGTATATATCTGATGTACTCACCTTTGCAGAATTTACTTCTAAGAAATTCCTTTTCCAGTTAGGTGATGTGATTTTCCTAGAGACTCTTGTGAATTAAGTAAACATGTAGAAGGGTGTGTGGTAGAAGCACATACTAAGGAAATGCTGTAGAAGATCTTGTTGTTAAAATGGGAACAAGGAGGTAGATGGAGAGATGGGGAGGTGATGTTCAAGAGTGTGCTGAGTACTTCAGAGCAGGAACAGAAATGATTGCTCTTGAGTCATTTGGGAAATTGATATGTGGAAACTGAGATTCAGAGGATCTATCTGGCTCCAAAGAAGAGTCAAAACCTCCTGCTCTTTATGCACAGACAAGATTGCTGACTTTGCTTCTTTGACTCTGATTTAGATCTAAATACATTGGCTTGAATTCATTACAATCATCCCCTTGTAAGTACCATGCATCCACAGTCCTTCACTTCGTTCATCCTGCTTCCCTGGTAAAGCCCAACCTGCAATAAAACCAACTCTTAGCCTATTGACCCATTTCTGTGCTTCATTTTGCAGCAAGATTCAAGTGTCCTCTTCCTCTCCTCTCCTGCTCTCTAGAATGAACTCCACTCCCATTTCGTCCTCATCACTCCTTGAAACAATTTTTATCAAAGTGAACCAGTGACCTCCACTTTCCAAATCCAATTGTCCTCTGTCCTCATCTTATTTGACCTATCAGCAAGATTTGCTGCAGTTGATTGCTCGCTCCTCTTGGAAATATCTCCTTTACTTGGATTCTATAACATCACACCCTTGGTTTTCCTCACCTCCCTGGTTACTACTCCTCAGGTTCCTTTGCTGGCTATTCTTTTCTATTCAACTTCTAAATGTTTGAGGGCTCCAGGACTCAGGTCTCAGACAATTTCTTTATCTACACCCATTCCCTAGGGAATCTCTTTCAGTCTCTTGGTCTTAATTACCATCTTTATGCTGATCAATTTCAAGTGTGTATCTCCAGTCAAAGCTGGATTTCAGACCTGTCTATCCAGCTGCCTACTTGATACCTTCACTTCATGTATCTAATAGGAATCTCAAACAAAACAAGTCCCAAACTGAACTTTTCATATTCTTCTTAATCTGCTCCATCCATACTCTCTCCATCTCAGTAATGGAGCTGCATCTTTCTAATTAATTGGAGTCATGTTTAACTGCTCTCCTTATCTCATACCCCATGTCCAATTCTTTGAAAAATTCTGTAAGTTCTGCCTTCAAAATATCTCCAAGATCTGACCACTTCTCCCCATCTCCATTGCTATCACCTTGGTCCAAGAAGCCATCATCTCTCCCCTGGATTTTTGTAGTAGTCTTCTGTCCTTGCTCCCCTTCAGCTTATTCTCAAGATAGCAATCAGAATATACCATTAAAATAAAAGTCATAACATAGCACCCTTCTGTTCAAAACCCTCCAATAGCTTCTTCCCATCTCACCTGGAATCAAATCCAAGCTTTTTAATGGGGCCCTACCTCATCTGAGCCCATTATCTTTCTGCTCTCATATCATGCAACTTCCCATCATACTCACTCTGGTCCAGTCTCTGCTATTTGTAGAATATGCCAAGTACAATCTTTCCCCAGGCCTTTTGCACAGTCTCTCTCCTCTTCCTGAAATGCTCCTTCCCCAGATAACTACATGGCTTATCCTTTCTTCACTCAAGTTTCCATCCAAATGTCCTCTCTTCGTGCAATCCTTCTCTGAAAAATCTATTTTAAAAAAACAAACCCAAACCTGTCACCCTGTATCTTACTGTGCTTTATTTCTTTTTAGCATTTGTCACAACTAGGCATATTATATATTTATGTGTTTCTTGTCTTCTCCCACAAACTAGATTCTGAATTTCATGGCAGCAGGGACTCAACCTGTTAACTGCTACTTTCCAAGTACTTAGCTCAATGCCTGACACATGGAAGGTGCTCAATAAATATTGCTTGAATGAATGAGATTGTGATTTGGATCCAAGATATGGATGTCTGCCACTGATGGAGGCACTATAGAGAGGGAGTATCATGTAGTGTACCAGGTAGTCTGGGGACAAGCCAGCCCCAACATTTATTACCAATGTGGCCTCTGGCACATCACTTCATCTCTCTGTGCCTCAGTTTCCTTATCTTTAAAACTGAGTATTATTTAACTATAGGAGTCAATAAGATAATACATGTCAAGTGGCATATAGGTGCCATGCAGGTGTTAAGTTATTTTTGCAGTGGTGGTACCAAAACTTGACATGTGTTTATGATCAGCTAGAGTGGATATGAGTGCCTACATTCAAAACATTAGCATCAGAACAGCAGGCTCCTCCTGTAAGCCTCCAAGTTTCCCAGGGGCTTCTACTGTGTGGCAGCTGTACTGTTTTCCATGTATTCTTACTTCACTCTATTTTATAAAGCCCTGGCCCACTAAAAGAACTTGCACATGGCATTGGTTGCCCAAGCCAAACAGAGAGGCGGCTTTCATCTCCACCTAACTTCTTGGTTGTTGCACTTTCCCTGAAGTGAATCTCAGATCCGTTGACTGTGAAGATGTCTCCCTCAGAGTATGGTGTGGACTAGGCAAATGCCTGTTCAGCTGGTTGCGCAAAGGAAGGAAAAAGCCTGTCTTCCTATTGCAGTCACGAGTTTAGTTTCTCCTAAGCTCTGCTGACTCAGAAGAGGGCCCCATGGTTCTCACTAGAGGTGTCATATGAGATACCTGCAGCTTCAAAAATAGTGAGAAGTCCATAAAGTGGCCATTCCTGACTGACCGTTAGCATCCTCTGAGTCCCTGAGCTATGCCTAGAACAGGCTCCCATTCATGGGCTCTTAAGGCTGACTTGCCTACATTCTAAGGGCGCTCTGTCAAGCCAAATATGCATCGACCTGTGTGGCTAGAAAATGTCATCGAATTTCCTGGCTGCTTTTCTCAAATCAAAGGTATTTTTTAAAAATTTTCTTATGTATAATTTATACTGGCTGTACATTTCCCTTTAAAAAGGACATTGGTGATTTCAGAGTAGAGAACTCTAGAAGCTTCAGTAGTTACCATTGTGGGGGGCACAGTCCTCGTGCACATCCCACCTCATATTCTTCCTATTGTAGCCCTGATCCCAGCTCCAGGCCTGGCAACATTACCCAAGGGCTGCTGAGAAGATGAGGGTGCACATGTGAGTGCCTAAGGGTCTTTAACAGCCGGCCTCAAAGGGTCCAAATCCTTCCCTCCCCTCCTCTATAGTCTATGAGGGTGAGAAATAAATGCTGGGGTTTTTTTTTAGTGTGAATACCTGTATGAGATAGAGCCATGCTAGTTTTTTATGACACTTGTGAACACTGACAACTTGGTGTCTTCCTTTTCAGCCAGGGAGAGGAAACTGTGCCAACATACATTGAGCTCCTACTGGATGCCAGGTACCAGGCTACAATTACTGCATCCACTTCAATGGTTTATAAATGTCAAAGATGGACAAACTGAATCTATAGTGTTAGAAGACAGGAGAGTGTTTACTTTTGGCAATGGGCGGTTAGTGGCTGGACATGGGCACAAGGAGGGCTTCTAGGGTGGCAGTCATGTTCTGTTCCTTGATCTGGGTGCTCATTACCCAGTTCGTGAAAATTCCCCACTTGTGCACTTTATATCTGTATGTTTTTCTGCATGTGTGTTGTACTTCACAAAACCACTTTACAGTGGATATCCATATCCTCACAGAATAGGAAACTGCAGCTTAGCGAGGGAAATGATGAGTGAGGTGCATCACAAAGCAAGTGAGTGGTAGAGATTGAAACCCAGGTCAGTCAGACTCCAGAGCCAGTTTCTTGACTACTTCACTGTCCTGCCTTTGTAGACTCTGATAACACCCTAGCAAGAGGGTTTATAACACCCATAAGGACTATAGCTAATACTGCTTGCAATGGCTAACATTTATTGAGCACATACTTCCTGTGAGTGAGGTCCCTTGTAAGAGGGTGTCACATGTATTATCTCATTAGATCCTTATACCAACTTATTGGTTAAGTCTCACTGTGTCCATTTTTGTGGTAAAGAAACCAAGGCTCAAAGAGTCTAGCGACTTTTCCAGGATCCCACAGCTAGTAAGCGGTGGTTATTTGCAACCAAATCAGTCTGATTGCAGATCTTGAGCTCTTAGCCACTTTCAAATACTAGCACATGCTGTGTATTTCATCTCCATTTTCAGTTGGGAAAAGGAATCTGGATAATCATTAAAAAACTAGGTACCTCAAGGAGGTGATTGTGATGGATGGTGTGGGACTGAGCAGCACCCCATCCACACCCCCAGTGCCCTAGGACAGGACGGTCTCCTATAAGCTGTCCCTCTGACTCTGGTGTTATTTTGATCTCAGCTAGTACAAACAATATAATATAAAGAAGGCAGAAAAGAGAGAGTCAATGTGTGCAGATTGGGCAGGCCAAAGTTGGGACTTTCATGGTGCAAGATGTGGGTGTGTGTTCTGAGAGCTCTGGGTTTCAACTTCATCATAAAGCAAGATTTGTATTAAAGGCAGAGACAGGGAGGGGAGAAGGAAGGAAAGAAGAAAAGATGGATGGGAGGAAATCAGGCATTTATGTGTTGGTCTTTTCACAATTGTCACCCAGATTCACTGAGTCAAGAGGTTTCTTAAGTTTTTACTTTAAAATAACTTTTTTTAACCACAAAAATAATGTGTAAATTTTTGAAGAATTTAGAAAACACCAGTAAGCAATCAGGACACAAAACCATGTGTACATCTATGCACACATATTAAGTTTTACAACATAACATTATTTTGCATGAAATGGGTTGTAACTTTTTAAAATCTACAATACTCATATATATCTCTACATGCCATTACATGTTCTACTACAATATCATCTTTATAGCTCAAGAGTATCTTTTATATAGATATACCTAATATGTTAAAATTTTTAGACATTTAGGTTATTGACAATCTTTATTATAAATGTATTATATTTACATTATGACTGTATTATAAATATCACTTTGAATCTTTGTAGCTAAATTTTTACATACATCACTGATTATATCCTTAAAATAAATTGCTATCAGCACAATGACTGGGTCAAAGGGTACACACAGATTTTAAGGTTTTGACGTGTACTGACAAATTGCTCCCCAGAAATGTTATCCCCATCTGCCCCTCCAACCCCAGTAGTGTGGGAAAGTGCTATACAGTGCCCTAACTTGCTACTGGCCTGCAGATATCAGTTTTCAAAAGTAGCATCCATCCCCAGGAACAAATCTTAATATATGTTTCTTTGCCCTTGATTTCACTGAAAGAGGCCAACCATTATAAATGATGTGAAATGTTGGGCAGAATGTCTGTGCCACATAAGTTAAGGCTTTTTTTGCTCTTATCACCTGTTTGACATTGAAAGCTATAGTGGTGGGTAAGGGCACTCCAGTATCACTGGGCAGACTTCTCAGATGTTTTTATTTTGTACAAAATCCAGGTGAATTGAACATTCAGGAGAGCTGAGAGAGGCACATGTGGAGGGAAAAGAGACCAGACAGTCTCTCCAGCCTTCCAATCTTTCTTTGTCTCTACACCCATGCCCCCATTCATTATTATCTTGGACAGCTGAGAGGCTCCAAGCCTTAAGTATCTGCTAAAACTTGATCCCTCTTTCCCTTTTGCTTGTGTGAGTGTTGAGACTGGAGAAAACATCCATCATGAAACATCCGTGTCATGAACTATCTTAGACTTCTTAAGAATTCAAATTCAGCCGCTATTATAGGCACAATTAAAATTAGTGTTTCTGAGACCAAAAGAGCTTCCATTCCTGTTAGCCAGTCTACAAGAACTTTACAAGAAGAAACTGAGTTACTGCTTGACCTTGAATATTTTGCTTTTGCAGGAAGAGGTCCAAACAGCCACTTCCCCACCCCATCACTCATCACTCCAGCTTAGATCCTTACTAGGCTAATCTGCTTTGCTATCTTGGTCCAGTCTCCTAACATTCCCATGCCCCAGATCCCTCTTGAAATGGGGTTTTGACCCCTAGACTTGTGTGAGTGACTGACACAGGCAAGTGTTAAACCCCTTATAAAGTTCTGTGGAGTCTTTCTAGTCTGTGTATTCAAAACACCAGCTATAAAATAAAGCCAAACAACAGCAACAACCAAACACAAATCACCTTTAATCAAGCAATTCTTATAGAAAACTTTCCTTGAGGAGCTAGCTGGACAACAATGCAAACATATATATACAAAGGTGCTCATAGCAATGTTGTTAATATAATAGAAAAATGGAAATAACTGAATTGCTCACAAATACCATGTTTATTAGTCACATTACTACCTAATGATAGAATACTGTGCAGCCTTTTAAAAAACTGGTGTTGGCTCTATTCATTGCTATGGGGAATATTTGTGATATTTTAATGATGTGAAGGCAGCCTTAAAAACAATATGTGATATGAAAACAATGCAGCCCTGGCTGGGTAGCTCAGTTGGTTAGAACATTGTCCCAATACACCAAGGTTTTGGGTTCGATCCCAAGAATCAACCAATAAGTGCATGAATGGGTGGAATGACAAATCAGTTTTTCTCTCTCTTCTTCCTTCCTCTCTTTTGCTTTTATTTCTCTCTCTCTCCCTTCCTCTTTCTAAAATCAATAAATAAAAATAAAAGTAAAACAATGTATACATGAATAGAAACAAATCCTAGTAAGAAATATACTTAAAGGTGGACAATAGTGGTCTCTGGATATTATGATGAGTGACTTTTTAACCTTTTCTACATTTACTCACATTAAAAAATATAGTATGTATTAACCAGAAAAAATTAGGTTACTTCCATTTTGAAAACAATAAATAAACACCTAACATGTCTTCTAAATCTTTCCTTCCCAGACAGTGACATGCCTCCAAATCAGTGGCGTTTCTCTTCTCATTGGACAAAGCCACAGCCAGAAGTATCTTTTGCAAATGGTAACGCCAACTGCATCACGAATGGGTTTGGTCCCCTGGCTATGGATCAGTACCCACTGCCCCTGACTGGGAGTCCCTCTGTTCAGCCTGGAGAGCTGTGGCATTTCTCCTCCCCAACCAGTCCTGGCTCTCCAGAGTCTGAATACCCTCGTGCCTTCTCCACTGGGCACCTGGTCCCAGAGGACCAGCCTGATGGGAAATATGAGTCCTTCCTAAATTTCCTCCAGCAAGAGAGATGTGTAGCCCATCCTCAGCAATTTGCCATGTGGGAGAATTGCAACTCTGCCCAGGCAGCCAGAACCACGGGATCACCCTTCAACCTGCCTTCTAGCTCAGCCCACTGTAAGTAAATGCCTCCAGATACCTGGAGGCTTGCCTCTGATTGGTTGGGGTTGAGAGAAAGTTGCATGAAGTGGGGTGTCAAGACTAATTGCTGCCACTCCAGGCATGGGGGTTCTGAGGGACAGAATGTTCTGCTTAAATGTTCTATATATCTTCACTAGGCTTCATTAACATTCACAGTTTAATGAATAAAGGGTTACACAGAGAGCCAGCCAGATGAACTTGGCCTGGAATATTCATTCAGTCTGTTGACTTGGACTTATCCTAGAAAAATGATGCGTTGATGTCTAAAATTGTAGGGTCTGCATTCACCTCACTGTGAGCAACCAAATAATCCTTTTGTAAAACAGAACTCTGTGACATACCTACAACTTAAAACTCTATTCTCCAAATGGATTGGCAACTTACAACAATGCCAAGCTCCTAGGCAAAAACAAGGGCAATCTATACCAGCCATCTGCTCCACACATTAAAATTCAAAACAACAGTAGAGGTGGCCCTATTGCTGCCTGGAGACTATCACAGTGCCTGGCTGTATATGACTTGCGCCTGTGCACTGGGCACACCGGATTTCTCCTGCTTTGTTTTCCTTATATTCCTGTTCCCTGATTGTCACTCCTCCCACTGAACTAAAACACTTCTTCATTTACACTCACTCAACAAATATTTAACTAGTGTCCACTAAATGCAAAATACCCATAAAAAACCCCATACAAGACTCCCTTCTATGTAAAAGGATGGGAAAGAATTGGCCTGAGGCATATTTTCACCAAAAGAGCAACTCACTCTGCTGCAAGATTTGCCTTTCACATGAAATATTGGTAATAATATATATTTTATATTTCCTTGGGGCCAAGTGTGCATCCTCTGGCACTCTGCACTCCAGGTGAATTTTCTTTTATAGCTCCCAAGTCCATACATATCTGTGGTTCTAGTGTCTCATGCCTGAAAGAAATTGCTAGAAGCTGCCTTTACTCTGACCTAAGTATATAGCACACAAAGGGCCTGTTCAGCATAGCCTCCCTGTGTTCCATCCTAATGGACACTGTGGTTCATCTTAATGTTGAAAAAAAATTCCCATTAAAATACCAGTACATCATTTCCAGAGTTTGATTAAGAATGTAAGTACTGGAAGCTGGGAAGATGGTGGCACTGTGACAAGTAGAGTGCCCTGACTCCCAGCCACGAACTTCATTTAACACTAAAATACTGCATAACCAGCTTGGAAAACCAGAGAAATATACCTGAGTAGACATATTTCAAGTAAGGAGCACTGAAGAAACATAATAGAGTCTGAAGCTTTTCTCTGCTCCCTTTATCTCCCTGTATCTTGTCTATTTTTTACTTTTTATTTTATTATTATTTTTTATTTTTTGATACTAATAGCAATAAATTCCTTTTCTCTCTCTCACTCTATTTTTTTTATCTTTCTTCCTTCTTTTTTTTTTCTTTCTTTTTTTTTTTCTTTAGCATTAGTGTTCTCTCTTCAATCTCCCAATTCTACTTTCAATTGGGATGTTTTCATTGTGACTGTCAGGATATTTTGTAAGATACTGCTTGTTTCCTGGCAGTTTGGTTGTGTATTGTCTTGTCTTGCCAGCACCTGTAAAACAGCTCACATGACATGGTTGTGGATGAGCCACACAGCCAGCCTCAGAAGAGAGTCCTCCCAAGAATGGTTCAACAACAATCTAGACGAAATAACAGAAGAAGAGCCCAAAGAACCCACAAAAGGGATACTCACAAAAGGGGCACACCTAGAGCAAATAGCTCAGAAGTATAAGGAAAACACACCTCTGGGCTCCTCTGGACATACACTACAAAATCCCACCACACAAGACTGGGAGACAGCAAATATATCTAATATACAGATACAAACACTAAGAGCCACCAAAATAGGGAGACAAAGAAACAACCCCCAAACTAAAGAAAAGGAAAAATTGCCACAAAAAAACCCTTGATAAGATGGAGTTAAGCTAGTTGTCAGAAATAGAGTTCAGAGTAATGGTTATAAAGATGCTCAAGGAAATTAATGAGAACAACAAGACACTTAAGAGAAAGGTCGAGGAACTTAGTGAAAACATAATAAAAGAGCTAGATATCACAAATAAGAACCAAGCAGAAATGAAGAATACTATATCTGATATCAAGAATACACTGGAAGGAATTAAAAGCAGGCTCAATGAAGCAGGGGATAGACTAAGTGACTTAGAAGATAAGGTAGAAAAAAACACTCAATCAGCAGCAAAAAGGAAACACACTTAAAAAGCATGAGGACAGTCTAAGGGAGCTTTGGGACAACATGAAGCAAAACGACATTTGCATTATAGGGGTACTAGAGGGGGAGGAAAGAGAGCAAGGGATAGAGAACTTGGTGGAGGAAATAATGACAGAAAACTTCCCTACACCAGCAAGGAAGAAAGCCACACAAATTCAGGAAGCACAGAGGTTTTTAAACAAGAGGGATTCAAAGAGACCCACTCCAAGACACATCATAATTAAAATGGTAAATGTTAAAAACAAAGAGAGAATATCAAGGGCTGCAAGACAGAGACAAGCGATGACCTACAAGGGAACCCCCATAAGGCTCACAGCAGATTTCTCAACAGAAACACTTCAGGCAGAAGGGAGTGGCATGAAGTTCTCAAAGTAATGAAAAGCAAGAACATGCAACCAAGACTGCTTTATCTAGCAAGCCTATCATTTAAAATTGAAGGTGAAATAAAGAGCTTCCCAGGCAAATGAAGGCTAAAGTTGTTCAGTACCACCAAACCAGCATTGCAGGAAATGTTAAAAGGACTACTTTAAGAAAAAGAAGGAATATTGAGAGAAAGGTACATCAGCATAAAGGGGGAAAATGGCATTAAATAAGTATATATCAATAGTAACCTTAAATCTAAATGGAATAAATGCTCCAATCACAAGACATGGGGAAGCTGAATGGATAATTAAACAGGACCCAAATGTATGCTGTCTACAAGAGACTCACTTGAGAGCAAAAGATTCACACAGGCTAAAATGGAAGGGATGGAAAAAATATTCCATGCAAATGGAAGTGAAAATAAAGCTGGAGTAGCAATACTTATTTCAGACAAAGTAGACTTCAAAATAAAGACCATAACAAGAGACAAAGATGGTCACTACATAATACTAAAGGGATCAATCCAACAGGAGGAAATAACCCTTATAAATATATATGCACTGAATATAGGAGTACCTAAATATATAAAAAATTTCTTGGTAGACTTTAAGGGGGAGATTGACAGCAACACAATCACAGTGGGGGACTTTAACACCCCACTGTCATCATCGGACAGATCATCAAGACAAAAAATCAACAAGGAAACAGAGACCTTAGAAGACACTCTCGATCTAATGGATTTAATTGACATTTACAGAACATTTCACCCCAAAGCAGCAGAATACACATTCTTCTCAAGTGCACATGGAACATTC